ATTAAATAAATAAATATATTTAATATCACGAGATTCATATAAATAAAAAAAATTAATTATAAATGATATATTCAATTATATAAAAGATAAGGTAAAAAATTATTTTAAAATCATTTTCCTTTTCCTTTTTTTTTTAAAGAAAAAAATTAGAAAGACATTGCACCTGACCTTGTTCTGTCTGGTAGTTTTGTTACCCTTCAAATGTTGCAACTCTGACTCCTTATATTGGATTCGATTCTCTTATCCTTACTTTATAATTTGTTTAAAAAATATAAAAAAATTAAAAATATAAAAATATTTAATAATAACTATTAAATATATAAAATATAATATAAATTTTAATTTTATTAAATTTATCATAAATTAATATTAAATATCTTTATATTTTAAATTTTTAATTTCAAAATATCTTATTTTTTTAATAATTGAGCATGAAAAACAAATAAAATATTTTAATACTAAAAATATTTAATTATAATTATTAAATATATAAAATAGGTATATTATAAACACAAATTTTATAAATTTTATAATATAATCTTATTAAAATCTCGATGAATTGACTCAATAATTAAAAAATTAAAACCCTGAGTTAAAAAATTTTAAATTTAACTTTGAGGCCAAATAAAAAGAATTTGGCCATAAAAAATGCCATACCTATTATATAGCTTATAATTAATTACGAACCCCAAAAAAAAAAAAAAAAATGCAGTCTTATTGGACATCCTGGCACGTCCCATTAATTCCCCTTTCCGGTGCGTGAATCCCATAAAATTCTCAGTCAAACTATTTTACTTTTCTTTTTTCTTTTTTCTTTTTTTAACTAATGGTGTTAGGGTTTCTTCTTCTCTGTAAATTTCCTTGCTCATGATTTTACGGGCATTTTGTTCTCTCGTGAATCTAATTCTCTTCATATAGGTACTCCCGCACTTCTTCAAATCAGAATCTCGCAATTTGTGAAACCTCGTATCAAATAGACCGCCTCAGCTCGTGTGAACTTCACTGCGATTCGTTTCTGAGCTCGAATTTTACTTGGGAGTTCAACATTTGCTTCGTGTCTGCTGGAATTTGGAAAAATGTACGAAATTTACTCGAATTTTCGGATAAATTTGTGTTTTTGATTCAGTTTGCTTCTGTTTGGATCTGGTTTTGTGGTGAATTTAGAGTGTTTTTATTGAATTTGAGCTGGATATGGATGGATTTAGCTGAATTTAGAACTGGGATCTAGTTATTTTTTGTTAAAGCTGCAGTTGGGGTTTCTCTTTACTTTGTTTGTGAAATTTGGGTTCTTTCATATGAATATTGCCTTTGGTTTTATAAGTTTGGGTTAGTTAAACTTAATATGCTTACTTTAGATTTTTGGTTTTCGTTAACTTTTGCCTAATTTGGACTAACTGTGTCTGTTTTAATTTGTATGTAGAATTTGGCTCCCAGTTTTAGGAAAAGTGTGATGTGCTGAGCAATGGCACTTAGGCTTCCTGCTCCAAAGGCTGCTGAGTTTGCAATTGGATCAATTGGGCGTGGATATGATATATCCATAGATCTGAGATTGAAATATCGTAAAGGAGTTGCAAAGGATTCTTGTCTGATTGAGATTGATGAAGATGGGGGTCACGAGATTGTTCTGCCTGGTGGTATTCCAATCCCTAATGTGTCCAAATCGATAAAATGTGACAAAGGGGAGCGCATACGGTTCAAGTCTGATGTTCTCTCTTTCCAACAGGTGATTATCTGTTCTATTTTTGGGTCTGCCAGTGTAAATATCTCTGTAAATGGTACTTATCATTTTATCAGTATTCTTTGGCTTTTGCAAATTTCCACCATTTCTTTATTCTTTAATCACACCTGAAACTCCTCCCTCCCTGCACTGTATCTTGTTTATTATTGTTTCTATTTGTATATGAGAGATAACTTTTATCATTTATATGAAATTTCAGATGCTTGGAGTCACGTTCTGGTTTTAACTTCTTCCAATATTTCTTGTTTGTCTTGACATTTTTTTTGTTCTCTTTGTCACTTCTTTTTCTTTTCTGATCCAGATGTCAGAGCAGTTCAACCAGGAACTATCTGTGATTGGCAAAATTCCATCTGGCTTCTTCAATTCCATGTTTGAGTTTTCGGGTTGTTGGCAGAAAGATGCAGCCAATACAAAGACCCTGTCTTTTGATGGGGTGCTCATCACCCTCTACACAGTTGTACTGGAGAAATCACAAATGGTTTTGCGAGATCATGTAAAAAAGGCTGTCCCATCATCATGGGAACCTGCAGCATTAGCAAGGTGAGTTCTACTTTCTAATTGTTGTTTGTAGTGGCTTGGTTTGCATCCTGAATGGTGATCAGTTAAATGTTGGAGAGGTAGCTGATTACAAAGTTGTATCTAAGCTCTGTTGATATACCTCTTATTACATTCCAGGTTTATTCAGACATATGGCACCCATATTATTGTTGGGGTTAAGATGGGAGGCAAGGATGTGATTTATGTTAAACAACCGCATTCCTCAAATCTTCAACCTGCTGATGTTCAGAAAAGATTGAAGGAGATGGCAGATAACAGGTTCTTAGATGCCAGTGGACTATACAGCTCATCATCTGAACAGGTTTACCACAGTGACAAGGTTGGTAGTAAGCATATACTTGGTTGTCTTTATACCAACATTTGTGATTTATGATGCCCTTACGAAGTGCTGCTTGGGATAGTGCTCCCCAGTTTCTTTCACATCCTTTCTAAAGTGTTGCCAACCACAAAGTAGCATAGATCAATTGCATAAAATTAAAAATTAATATCAATTTGCCTGCATGTATAAGCATCTTGGAGTTATTGTTGAAATGTTTTATTTTTGTTTAAATGGATGTTTTAGTTCACATGCACACTGTTGTGACTTGGGATATTTGGGCAATGGGAATTGGCATAAGATGGGCATACAGTTTCATTATTTCTTTTATCTTATCTAGTCATTTCTGTTTCAGTTTGAAATCAGGGAGCAACGGCTAAGGTTTGCAAATAACAGTCCATCAAGCTCATATGTGCATAAGGAGGTTTGTATTGTGGATATGGTTTAATTTTCTTAGGCAGTTGAAGTCCTGTGCTAATGAGTTCTAAGTATTGTTATTACGTTCTTTAAAATTACAGGATATCATAAGCATTTGCAAGAGAAGAGGTGGAAGTGCTAATGGGAACCTTTCTCACAATGAGTGGTTACAAACTGTTCAGTTAGAGCCTGATGTAATCTCAATGTCCTTTATCCCAATTACTTCTTTGTTGAATGGAGTACCAGGTTCCGGATTCTTGAGCCATGCCATAAATCTTTATTTGCGATGTAAGAAGGATCTTTCTGTTTGTATACCCATTCATCTGCTTTTGCACTGCGACTTCAATGACGTTATGTGTTGGTTCTTTAGATGTGGAAAATTTTTTATTCTGTTTCAAAGTCTTTTAGGATTTAATGGTGTTACATTGCAGAAATGAATTTATCCACTCTTCATGAGAATGCCCTTTCATCAGAAGCTTTTTCCATTGCATTGAAAAACTTAGTTGAGTACATTTTGAATGTATTTTTATAAGCACCAATTTTATGGTACTTGTGGGAGGCAAGTGAGGAGCAGAATTTGAATCTGGACCTTACCTACCTTGGAAAGGGGTTAAAACAGTCTGGTCAAACCTAGGTTGTTAGTACCATATAGGATTTCACATTGGAGGATAACTGCTGCTAGTTCTTACTTGAGCAGAACAAAGTGTATGGAGTAGAAAGTTGTGCACGTGTCTTGATCAGGTTACACCTTACCATTCAGTGGGCTGTGTGGATATCTATCTATACTATGTATACATTGCATCCTTTTTTATTTTTTGGCCTTTGTATACATCTCATCCTTAAAGTATTATGCTTGCAGATAAACCACCTGTTGAAGAACTCCACCAGTTTTTGGAATTTCAGCTCCCAAGGCAATGGGCACCAGTTTTTAGTGAGCTTCCTCTTGGTCCACAACGAAAGCAACGAAGTTCTGCATCTTTGCAATTCAGTTTCATGGGGCCTAAGCTTTATGTGAACACCTCTCAAGTAAGTCTTTGCTCAAATTGAGTTTTTCTCATTTTTTGTTAGCAGAAGCCTAAGTACTTGGTATGTATCAATAACCATTAAAGTTATAATAATGCTGTGATATTGTTTTGATGTTTTCTTATTCTTAAACTATTTTGCATAAACTCCATGACAGGTTGACGTTGGTAAGAGGCCAGTGACTGGCCTAAGGCTTTATCTAGAAGGTAAGAGAAGCAATTGCCTAGCCATCCACTTGCAGCATCTTTCCTCTCTTCCAAAAGTCTTCCAACTTGAAGATGATCCAAAAGGGAACTTCAAGCCAGAGTCCTACAATCGTAAATATTATGAGAGAGTTCAGTGGAAGAATTATTCTCATGTTTGCACTGCTCCCATTGAATCTGATGAAGATCTTTCCATAGTAACAGGAGCCCAGTTACAAGTAGAGAATCGTGGTTTCAAGAAGGTACTCTTTCTAAGGCTACGCTTCTCAACTGTTTTCGGAGCTATGGTTGTTAAGCATCCAGAATGGGATGGATCACCAGGCTTGGCACCAAAATCAGGACTCATATCAACACTAATCAGTCATCACTTCACGGCAGCTCAGAAACCACCTCCTAAGCCAGCTGATGTGAATATAAACTCTGCAGTTTACCCTGGGGGCCCACCAATACCAGTCCAAGCTCCCAAGCTTTTAAAATTTGTTGATACAACAGAGATGATGAGAGGTCCACAGGAAACTCCTGGGTATTGGGTCGTTTCTGGGGCAAGATTAGTTGTTGAAAGGGGCAGAATATCTCTCCGAGTGAAGTATTCTTTATTGACAATATTATCTGAAGACGAAGAGATAGAAGAACACTAGAAGATTCCACATTCCACAGCACAGAAAGAAACCTAAAGAGAAATGTTACATAAGATCAAACTAGCCAAACAAAGATGATAGAGTGGGAATTGGCTGCATATGTAATGTTCCCAACAAGAAATAGGTTGGGGTTAAAGAATTGAAGAGGGTTGATTGGGATTTGATTGGTGGTGATTGTTTTAATCAGTTGTACTGAACTTTATTCTGTTTCTAATGTAGATTCTTGGCATTGCTGTGTGCAATGTGGCTGTAAGGTATAACATGCTGTATTGCTCAGGCTGGTCCATGATCTCTTTGTACAGTTGTCTCTTACACCATTTCTGTAGATGCACAAAGAAGGCTGGGCTAAAACTTCAAAAACAAGCATAGGCATACTGAATCGGTTCACAAGTAGAACTCCATTAAGGCAATGGCTTAAAACCAACTATTTTCGTCGGCTGATATTTACAATATCCTGCATAATGGTAATCTTTACTTCAAACATGGCTCATGATACAGAATTCAATTACATGATTAAGTATTTGAAGGATGAGAATTGATTGTGAAATATACAGAAAGCCATATTATCATCCATTCTCTGACGTGTGTAGAATACTAAGGAAGTACAAAATTATGTTCATGGGAAGGCCAATATATGCTTTCCCTTTGGCAAGGGAGGGGAGCGGGTTGTGCAATATAAGTTGGATAATGCTCCCCAGGCATCAAAACTGAGAAATCAGATGCATATGATGTTGGTACCTGGCCGTCATTAATAAACAGTAAAGATCAGTTCCATTATGTATATTAGCAAGATGATCTACTAACATCAAAGAACCAAAAATCCTAAAATAGGATAGAGACTTACAGTTTGTGGATATCCAAGTTTGTCTACAACTGATTCTGGAGAACTATTCGCCATCTCTTCAGGTGAAGAGAAAGGAGGATTTGGCCTGAACAGGTGTTCAAAGATGGCCATGATGAGAAACATTGATATCAAGATGGCTGTGGCAACAAATCCAAAAGAAATTGCATTCATGGATGTCCCGAAGCTTTTCCATGGGACTACATTATCAACTGCTGATTGAGATGGACTTGGATCTGAACCTGTATATATGTTCCACTGTCTTGATCTTTCAGAACCAAACTCACTCATAGTCTTTATACAAGAAGCCTCTTGAGTTGTCTGTGTTAAGGGGGAGGGTGTGGTGAAATTACTGTAACTCGGGGGTGATTAAAACATACTCAAAGCTAAGTTAGAAGACATTTTCCCTCGTCCATGGACAGTCATAGTTCCTGAAAACAATCACTGACATATTAACAGAGACATGGCATAATTTCCATCCTAATATTCAAAGAATTCAGATGAAGATCAGCAAAACTTGTGTCATCGAAACAAATAATCAAAACAACTCATTATGTGCTGCAGAACTATTTCATCTCAACAGCAATGCATAAGAAATAAAATGTTTTCAAAGAAAAAAACAGGTACAAGTTTAGATAACTGATTTCATATGCCTTAAATCGAATGCATACACAATGCAGACCATTATTAATATCTGATCTCTCAACCTCAAACAGTACTTACCTCCTTATCAGATCTCCTATTAACAATCAATAAGCAAAGAAGGGATGCCTTGAAAGAAATGGGTAAGGCAAGGTTTGAAAGGCACTCATGAAACCAAAGAACTTAGCCTCTATGGTACTGTTTCTCTTGTACTTACCAAATGGAGTTATAACCATATAGAAAGAATAGGGCCTTTATTTCTTTACTTTTTCTAAAATAATATCTGCAAAGAGTAAATTAAGGCCAAGGTCAAATACACAAGGCCAAAAGATCAAATAGAGATAGAACATCAGGAAAAAAATTCAAGGCATTACAGCATTTGCTTTGTTTAAGAAATAATTTTTTTTAAAAAAGGACAAAAATGAACCTTTGAAGCTGCCATAAAATCAGGTGCCTCTGCCTGAATCTAGTTTAGTAAATGACACTGCTTTAGGAGTAAAGTGCTTTAAACAGTATACTTCAATAGTTTTTTAGAGAAAGCCAAGTTCCTGCTTTAGGAGCAAAATGCTTATTGCCATTCAACTATGTTGACATGACCCTAAACTCAATATTTACTAATTATCAATCCTGGTTTGATCCCGAAGAAGAAATGATAAATGTATGATCAAAAACTGACAAAAGGCCCTAAATCAAAATATCCAATGCAGGTAATCTGCTTTTGAATTTTTCAGCAGCAGTGACTGAAATGCCAGAAACCATGATTACAAATGTAAACAAAACCATCAGTACTTACCAAGACAAGTAAAGAAAGAGAAAGTTAGGAGGGAAGTGGTGTTTGTGCTGCAGTGTTTGCAAGTGAATTCAGACATTGTGAGAAAGGGGGGATATAAACTAACCTGTTGTTGAAAGAAATTGAGTCTTGGACATTGAACCCTAAGAGCTAGGAGCATAAATTATTTATGGTCCTCCGATCCTTTAGATTAACTGCCCTGGAAAAACGAGACACACACTCTTCTCAATGAGTTGATTTAAAGAAGGCAGCTTGAGACCATCTAGCTTTATACTACACCAATTGAAAATGTAAAGACAAAGTAATATGATAATCCTTAGCAGTGCACTTTTCTTTTCACGTTTTGATATTGCATGATCTTAATACCTAACTTAATGAATACTATACCTTGTCCGAAGAGGCAAACTTAATAAAGGAATCAAAAGCATGGGCCTTGCTGTCTGGGGAGCCTAAACACAGAGTTGCCTATTGGTGCCTTTTAAAAGCAATTACCTTTAAATACTGATATTCATTAACATGAATTTATGTTAGTTTAAGGGGATGATAACTAGTAATAATTTCTCAACCGCCCCAATAATCAATGGTTTTATTTCTATGGTAAATTGCAAAGATATAATTAGATCCACTACCTGTTGGGCAAATTTTCACATGAAAGATGATTATAACTATCTATTGCAGATAAAAGAAAACGATGATTATCAGTTTATAACTATCATTAAGAATTAATACATGGTTAAAAAGAAGGAATGCATGGGTTAAGGGAAAGGATTGGAGATAAGGAAATCATTCAATGAAGAAAACATTCATGATCTACTAGATTAAAGGTTAAAGAGTCTCCTTGGTATTATTGATGCCTGACCCAATTCATTATACAACAAAACCATCCAGATGTAATCATGGTAAAGATGACAAAATCTTTTGCATAATCTTCCACTAAATAAAAGAGAGAAAAAAGAAGATAAAGAAAGATAAAAGCTGCTGAAAATTATTTAAAACTGAAATAAAAGCCTGCAGCAAGGAAATTTATATGTTAAAATTTTCTTTTTTAAGGCTTAGGCATGGAATAGGCATGTGATGAGAGCACAAACACACCATTAGGATATTGAGCTCAAGATAAAAAAACATATGCAGAAAAATTAAAAACAAGTATGAGAGAGAGAATTCATGTTGAATAGTGCCTTACAGCTATGCAGTACCAGAAATGCCATGATTCAATAGAAGAAAGAAATGGATCTGCAGAAAAAGGATAGAGATAGAAAAGGGGGTGATGTAGACCAAAATTATTCCTCATATATTTTCTTGAAGTAACCTGCTGAGAGTAACCCACAACTTTTGTCAGACACTAAACCAGTAGGTGCATTATCTGCAAACTTTTATCTTCAACAATAAACATCTGTCTTTCCTCTCTGTATATTTATCTAAGAATTTCTACAGAGATTGAAGTAATTTTCAAAAGAGAATGAAGCAATGATCATGGTACTGACATGAAAAGACCCAGATAGAAAAAGAGCTCTCTTTACCTCAGATGCAGTGAGAAGCACTCTTTGTCAACAAGGCAATAACCATGTCTGAGAATGATGGAAAAGCCTATCCAGACCTGTCCAAGAACAAGATAAATTCTTCAATTTGATGGATGCTTTATTCTTTTTAGCATTTTCTTTTTTCTGGATTAGTAGTTAAAATTACAGATTCTACAGCATAAAATATGATTCTACCCTTTGTTTTTTTTTGCTAATTAAATAAACAAAACCCATTTTCATGCATAAAAGAGTAAATATTGAGAAAAGACGATTGCTTCCAGTTTCCATGTAAGACATGATTCTAAAAGAGAGTGGACCCATGAAAAGAAAGCACTCAAAAGCAGATTTTGAAAAAACAGAGGCGGAAGCATATATTTGTCTCCTCCCTTTTCTTTTGTTTTGCCTCTTTCCCAAACCAAGTCCTTCACTCAAGCAACCTTTTTCCTTTTCCAGTAATTAAGCCCAGAAATTTCTCAAAGCTTGTAAGCAAATCAAAGCAAAATCATATTCCATGATAATCACATAAACTAGAGTTTACTTCTTTTTGGAAGTCATATACAGAGCTCAACTTTTTCTCTTATGGGTCTTTCACCACTGAACCTCCATGTGCACCCTTCGCATTCTCGCTGGCAGCTCAGCAGCTGCACGGTCACCGTCAGTTTGATTCAATAATGTAAATTGCCCCAGTTTCCATTTATTAAAAAATGTAGAAATAGGACGGATTAGCATTTTTATGTCAGAATTTCTACATTAATTAAATATATTTAATAAATTTCTTCTGTTTATTGATTCATTAAATGTTGTTAAGTCATTTTATTGAAAATCTTGACATCGTAATTAGTAAAATCTCTTCTTTTTCTCAATTGTTTTGGTAAGTACTTCTCATGCAAAATTTAAAAGTGTGAAGTTTTAGATTATACTCTTAAAGTTAAAAAAACAAAAAACCCTTTTTTTTTTTTCTCAATCTTTTTTATTTATATG